ATAATCTTGAAAATACAGATACATGATGGGTAGCCCAGTGGGGCTAAAGAGCGGCTGGTCAAAAGGGAAAGTTTACCACTGACAAGCAAGTCTGTTTCTATACCGTATTTGTATTCACCCTCCTTTATTGGTACCAGGGTGATTTGCTTGAAAGTTGGCTCTTGATTTTTAGAAGTTCATCTGTTCCTGTTGCTTAATCCCCACCTGGAAATCTCATATAGCAGTGGAATTGTGACATCATAGTTTCCTTGTTGTTGACATAACCGTAGTATTGTACCTTCAGGGTTGGAGTGAGCAGGAAGAGGAAGAGCAGATAAGCTCTTAAACAGAGATCCTATTTCAGACAGTTGTCAGAACAGTCACCAAATGGATAGGGAGAGTAGAGAGAACTACAACAAATGTGGCATGTAAACTGGGTAGGTTCCAAATGATGTTTGGATAATGGTTTGCTTTGGAATCAATCGCCCGATGAATAACAATATTATACTATATTGCACAACAGATCCACTCCTGCTCTTGACGTTTATGTAAGATCTCTCTCTGAATTTTCCTGCCATTTCTCTCTAAAATATCTTTATTGTCCCTCACAGGAAGCAACATGGACCAGATTTCTGTTTTGCTGCCTGAAATTTAAACGTTCAACCAAAATCTCACTTTTCCTGCCTGACTGACAAAAGCAGAAGCCAAATCTTCCAGAGTTCTGTTAATTTCCCTTTGGGAAATATCGGATACAGTACGATACCGCCACAGGAGATCAACCAGCCTGTGTGTGAACACAGGCTGGCCATGTTCATGGCAAGGCGTAAGAACAGGCACTGCCAACAACAGCTGGTGCCGACTTCCCCGGCTCTTTTATCTTCTGGACACTAGTCACCATCCCTGACCCCTGGAAGGCAGGTGAGTAAGCTACTGCAGTGTGTTATGGAGTATGCAATTTTGTGACATTTGGTTCTTTTCAACCGATATAAAGTGCACTTTAATACCACCTCTACTAGTACTAAGATACTGCTTCTAATTGCGGTTTACTGGGTTTTCACACATACATTAAACATATTTTATGGAGACATCGAAATAGATTTTGGATACGTCTTGCCCACATGAATGCATATGGATGCCTGTTGTTGACACTTTCTGACAAATCTAGAGCAGATGGTAGTGGTTGAGAGCCACGAAGAAGCACTAATTACATCAGGTGTCTCAGACCACAGCAGTTGACCGTCCTCGTTAGCAGCATTGTGTTTCAAGCACCACAGAAAAGGAAATGGGATAGAACCTTACATGCTAGCTTATGTGCGGTGCACAGCAGTGGAATTCAGAATGGGGGCTGCATCTCAGCTGCAATATGCCTCGTTCTGCCCACAATGACACAGCGCAGCTCAGTTCTTGAAACATATTGCATCAAGGTGACAATATTGGAGCAGTTAATACACAGATCCTTGAAAAGGCACTTCACAGGCGGCACGCCAGAACTTCCTACTGAAGTTCACAGGGCTGCACAAGCTGTAGGCCAGACAGCATGGCCTGTTATGCTTGTGTGTAGCGCTAAAACAGTTGATTATAATGCAATGAGTGATTTCAAAAGCCCCACAAGATGGCACCAGTCTTCGGAAAGGGTTAAAGGACAGCCATTGTTTTACTTATTAAAAAAATCAGTCACTCCCATGTAGGAATCGATAGGCATTTTACTGGCAGACGTATTAACGGGAGGTTTGTTTGTATTGCAAGGGATTACTGACAAGTCCTTACCCTATAGTGGTTCTGTCAGGCAGTGCTTTATAAACTCAACGTCAAAATACTGTTTTGTAGACCGTGTAACAAGGTGCTCATAAGGCCCCTGTGTTCTGAGCCTCTCTCCACGTTACATCATCATTCCTTACTGCTCTGCATGCCACTGACAGAGAACTCGAAGATCAAAGGCCACGTTCAGCAAGCAGAACGGCCTATTGACAGACTTCACCTCTTCCTAACCCTGAACAGAGAAAACGATCCCATTTCTCCTGCCTAC